TTCATCAAAATCGGATAAAAATTACTCAAGTTATCGTGTTCACGGACACATATACATATATATATATATATACATATATAAAAATTTGAACGAATGGTGTTTTTGGCCTCTGGGGACATCATAATGAAAAAGTAAATCGGTCCCGGGTCTAGGTCTTACTGTGCCACCTACGGTAATAGCTACTTCCCTATAGGGGAATTCGCTAATAACAGCAATTGAATTATACAGCTGATCAAAATGTAAACAATTATGTTCTCCATAAGGATAACATGGGAACTTTCAAAGCCACTGGGGCAGAGCCCAAGGGACTATTTCAAAAATGTAAGGTCAGTTTGCAAATCTACGCGACACGCTCTTTCCAATGAGACGTCAATGGATAAAATCGGTTAAGAAATGGCGGAGGAGTTCAACCGACAAAGTTTCATGTAGCGTATTAATTATATAGATGTTTGTAAGGCGGATTATTTTATAAAGAAGTATTTTTTTGCTTTTTGATTTTTGTAAATCGGACTTTGGTCAAACGGCAAAGGAGTGGATTCGTAACATTTCATTGATATCTTATTTTTATAGTAAAAGGATGAATTAATATCAATTAATTTTATCCTTTTATATTATATCAACTACTAATTAAACTTGTATTTTATCATATCGAAATAGTTTTAATATATATCTCATGTATTTTTTTGTGTTCAATTCTCTTTAATACTTGGGCCTCAAAATAATTTATTTCTTTTGTTTATATGTTATTTGAATTATTGATTGTTTATATTTTTATTAACAAAGGTTATTGATAAGAGTGAATAGTACAATAAAATTTAGTTACTCATACATTGTGTCAGTTCAATCAGTTTCCTGAGTACCCTCAATATTTGCTAAGCGAGTTTACTTAGCTAATTCACTTGAGTTTTCCTTTTATTTTATTCACATTTAACGTAAAGTTCAAAAGTACACCAGAAGTTTACATTTCATAACAATATCAGCTGCAGCTAAACCTCATGGCAATCTGGTTTCTCTGCACTCAAATCATAACTGTGTTTGAGGCTGAAGCAAGTGCTACAACCAATTTTGTAACGGAATAATCCCTTTATCAATATCGTTTTACCGTAATACCACTACCTTCAAAGCTTATTTTGAAAATGATTTAGCTCGTGTTAGCAGGAAATTTATTTATCTTCCTTGTAATGTGAATATCAATATTTACATGTAATATACCTGATATAAATATAACACACCACAATGAATCGTTAGAAATATTTAATTACGTTATCATTGCTGATGTATTTTAAGCGTGTTATTATCATGGCTGTATCTTTCTATCTGTTTTGTTCATTTACTTATTGCATTATGTGTCAATATTGCTCATTTAATTATCTTTATTTTTGATTAAATATGATACATGTGTCATGCACATGTATTTTCAAATATAAATTAAATTTACTATTTGTTCCAGAGCTACTGAAAATTTCAGTTTTTATTTATTCAGTGAAAATATTAGTTACAATATAAAAATCCATTGAAGGGTAATAATAATAATAGTTAATTTCCTTCAGATCCCCAAACCATCTAAGTATAACCTTTGAGTATTAATACAACTAGACATTTTTTCCCCATCCAATAGTCAATGGTATAACCTGAACCAAACTTTGAGCTGACTACCCCAAGATAGTTGGGATTCTTGGATAATATTGTTCTTCAGATTGGTATTTTCCTTACAGTTTTCTCCTTAGTCCGTTCCGTTTCCAGAAAGTTACCCTTAATGAATCGTCGTTAAGAATATATTTTAGTTAAATATAAAAACTTGTACAATATTAGTTGATAGGACTAGTTAAGATATAAGGTTAATCGATATTTTTTATACTCTATATTATATGATCATTCAATGAAACAACTATAAATGTATGTTGGATAAGTATAATGATTTTACTTCAAAGATTATTTTTCAAACATTTAAATAAATAAGTTAAGATTGAAAAGGTATACGATTTCTTAGATTATTATATTTTTCTCCTGCATAACATCATTATTATAAGTTTACCTAAACAATTTCATCAGTGATGATATATTTACAACAGTAAATAATTATTTCTTTACACAGGGTTTTTTTAATTCCAGATAACATATTGTAATCCAAGTTGACATATTTGAAACTAAGACTGTGTCTCTTCACAAAAATTACCATGGATCATTTTAAATTACTCGTATTAATCTCTGCAAACAATATATTTATATATTCACACTGCCTTTAATCATTCATCGTTTAGAAATGTTGTCAAACAGCATGTCTGATGTAAAATAATATATGTATATTTCGAATTCAAAAAGAGTATAATTTTTTATTCACACCGTTTATTTTACTTCACTCTGCACTTTTCAACATAAATTTTAGATCAACACGAACTATTAACTCAATAAAATACAAAAGTAATCAAAATGCATGACATCAAACAGATTATATCTGAATTTTTTATCAAGTTATTTGTAAAGTTTTTAATTTAAATTTACTTAAAACTCTTAAGATAAAAAAATCTTCTTTGTTGTTTTCTAGTTATTTTACAAAAAAACTTGATTTCAAATTAATAGTCTGATTGGGAAATTGATGCAGTACTGTTATAGAACGAATTAAATCTGGAACACTTTCATTTTAGACTTTTCTATCACAAAGTACAGTAAACTATATGTCTCTGAACATAGGGCACATTTTATTGTCATGTGGTTTACTTTGTTAGTGAAACTATTTTTCGACACAATTTTTTTGTATATATTCTTTTTTTACCAGAGAATATACAGTATAGTATTACTTTTCTAAAATAAAAAGATTCCATTAAGGTTTAAAGAGGCAAAGCAGTTCTGAAATTAAATGCAAGGCAATGCCTCAATTTGGCTAAATATTCCGATATTTGAAGGCAGCTAGCCAACAATGTCAGAAACAGACTGAAATTCATTTTTCACTTAGGCAAAATGTGGCCTTATTACTTACCATTTAGGTCAAACTAATTAAAATGGATTTTACAGCTGTCTTAGTGTTATTGCGCTTAGGTCAAACAGTCTCAATGAGAAGAGTCTGCTATCAAATGGGGATTTTGTGAAACATAGACATAGTTAACTAAAATAACAAATAAGAACCATAATTGTGTCTTCATTGTTATTCTGAAATCGTTCTGTAAAAGACAAAGTCATTGGTTTCTTATTCATGTGCATTGAGCAATAATGAAAGGAAGAATAGTAATGATAATTTTATGTATTCACTGGCCTGTAAACAAATACACCTACAGTAATGTTATCCCTTCTTTTTGAAGATTTATAATGAACATATTGGTTTTTAAATTCTGTTTATTTACAATAGAAGTTTTTGCATTGTTTTTTTACAGTCACAATAAAATTTGTTTGATAGTTGTTTTTTTTATTCTATATAAATAACATTTTTCATTTTAACACTTATGCCGAAACTTGTATTCTCTTTGCATTTGGTGTAAACTATGTAGCCTAATTACGTTTTGAGACAACGTCTACAATGTGCGTTTTCAAGGGCTTTATACAGATGTTCCTTTGAATTTAACAAAACATATTAATATATTAAACATATTAAGTTTTCATATTATGTTTTTTAATGTGATACAATAGTTTATTAATGAGGTTTTCCAGAGTAAGTGGCAAGTTTTTCAAGAACTACAATTTAGTAACGTCGTAGTAGTTAATTACAATGTTTAAGAAGTGAATGTTTAAAAAAATAGCATTAATAATACAAAGAGATAAAGCATTTGTGCCAAAATAACCCATAATTAATATTTCAATTACCAAAATTAATTTGCTGTATTTGGTTTTCATAAAACGTAATTTACTTTCGATTTTCCATTACCAAACAACTTTCAATTATGTAAATTATGTCGTTAAAGCATAATTATTCGTTGGTATTACAAATTGTGTAAAAATTTTGATGATCCGGTAAATTACTCTGTGATATTAACTGTAATCCATTACCGTAGAGTAAGTTTTGTACATATGGTATATTTTATACAAGCGTATATAGTAATACCGAACAACATTTGTAATTTATAGAATCAAAACATAACACTAATCATTTTTACTGCCTTAAGTTTTTGTAGCAAAAGCAAATGCTATTATGATATAGCAAATTAATCTAAAAGAAGTGTTTGTGATTCTCAAGACGATTTTACTGTACTTTTAAATTGTATTATTTGAACCCGAGAGCTCCGGGACCTAATTCCTGGGCTCAACAACCAACCAGTTCATTCCCCATCCTCTACGACCACTACAACTAATGTGTGTTCATTTATTTATTTATGATTAGTTCAATGCCTTGACCTTTGAATAAACAGCTAAGGCATAGAGATATGGCTGAGTAAATGTAGTATTTTATTAATATGTGATTAAATATTGACAGTGGGTACCGTCAAAAACAACAACATAATGAGCTTAAAACCCCAGAATGTAAAAAATATTAACCCACACATAAGCAAATCACCTTAACTTCTCTATGTAATATTTTGTGTAACCCAATCCTTGTGTTAACATATACCTAAATCAAGAACAACCTTCTACTATGGATATAAAATTACACAAAAGTGAACACTTAGTATAGTTAAGACATTTTAACAAATATCAAACAGCAGTGATTGGTTTCGCAAACGAAGCCAGTTTAGCTATGCCGCAATGGTGCTTTTGCCAGCCAAGTTCGCTACAGTTTTGCAAAGGGCGTAAAAAGTTTTAACAACCAGTCGTTATGGGCGTTAAGTTTCAAGATATTGCCTCGTACGATTATTGTAATGAGGGTGTTTGAGGGTCGAAGCAATAAATATATAGTTCAATGGGCTGAATTAGAATTAAACTTAACAGATTCTAAAAATGTAGGTTAAAAGCTTTACTGATAACACTAACCAACCTCTTGGTGGATATAGTGAAATAAAACACACATAAAAACCACAGCCTTTAATAAATGACAATTATATATACATTTTACATAGTTCACTACGACGCTGAAATAAGTATTACTATATACAATTTAAACTTATTTAATTTTTCTTCAAACTTAGATAATGTAAAAACAAATATTTTTGTTAGAGATTTGCCTCACTTTTTCAATATTTAAAAACAATATTAACCTTAATTTTACACGGTGTAAAAGATTACGTAAGTAACGTTCAACAGTCTTTCATCTAAATTTATTTGAATAATTGAAGTAAATAATTTTTACTATTCAAGTAGGCCCGTATTTAAGACTAAAAAACAACATTGCAGAACGTATACATTTTACTTTTATTTTACCCGGTGATTTCTTATATTTTCACTTCTTAAGATTGATACATTATTATTATCAAAAAAGCTCAAATTTAAAATTAGAATGTTTAATGGTTGTGTTATATTGTAGTCTTTTAGTTGTTTTAGAGATTAAAATGTAACTAGCTTAAACTTGATGATTTGATTACGTAAAGCCATCTAATTTAATTATTTTTTCATATGATTTTTTAGTTAGATACTGAAAAACAATGAAATCGTGTAAAATGTAATAAGTTTATTTATCGTAAAACTTAAAATATTTTTCATTGAATTTCAAAATAAGTTTATTTACATAGTTTTTTATCGTTTATGCTGTTAGTTTGGACATTTTATTAAAATAAAATTGTAGTAAACTTTGTGTTCAGAAATATTGCCGTGTGTTCAACAGGTATTTCCATTATTTTAGCATTTGGCTTAGTCCAATATTACAAATGTTTTTGCAGTGTTTTAGGCTACATCGAATGTCCGGGATACTTGATGTCCTGCAGGACCTGTTACTGTCAGCTGTGCAGGAACAGCAGACTCAGCAACGCCAGCAGTGCCCAGTGCTGACCGACTGTCATAGTAGAGTCTCCATGCTGCATTGCTGCAGGGGTGTCGCCTGTAATAGAAATAGGCTATACTATACCATACTATACTATACCTATACTACATTTTAGACAATACAGGATTAAATAAAACTAAGACGTAGTTAAACACATCTCAACATACCTAACTTAATGTACTTGGCTAACATACCTCAAGACAAGTTTGACCATTTAGCGTAATGTGAGTATTTTTCCGAATTTAATTCCTCTGCGTATATTTTTTTGAATTAGTTCGTCTTCTAATTGGAAGACAGTGAAACCTTTTTATTATTGAGGCGATGTAAGTCAGTAGCCCTGACTTTTGCACTATCTAATATCGACCTTTTGTTAGAAAGCGTCATTAATAGATACCCCTATGACAAATCTGGGGGCATCTGGCAACTATCTCACTTAGAATCGAACCTCGAAATCGACCTCGAAATTTGAAGGCGAGAACGATCAGAGATTAGTGTTAAAAGAACCCCAAACTATTCGAACGTTGAATTTTGACACAGTTGCTTTTTGTCATCGGATTATGGTAATTAATTTTTTCTAACTTTCTTTGTGTTTTGAGGTAGACACAAGTCGTAAATTTTGGCAATTATTAAACAAAATGGTGGTAAAATTCAAGAGAACTTACCATTGAGGACATGGACGGAGACTGTGGTGGAAGCAACGTCCCCTAAAGCACAGGAGTAGTTACCGGAGTCGTGACTGTGAGCGTTGGCTATGAACAATCTGCTCTTGGCTCCTGTCTCTAAGATATCTGTCTTGACACTGAAACAAACAGTTGGGTAATATACAGGTGAGTTTTAAATGAGTTCCCCTCCCCCCTACTTTTTATAAATATCTTAACCCAACAATTCCGGACGACGTCAGATGATCGTAGAGTAGTAACATTGAGTGTAGTAATTACTTCATTTTGACTGGGTAGGCCTATAGATTGTTTGCCGCCATCTTGGATCTGCCATATTGGATATAAAAAATTATTTTCAAATGTAAAGGTGGGGACCCATCGTTTCAAACCAGATTTTTACGCTGAATACTATGCTGCAATCTGTTTTTCAAATAGGTAGTCCGTTAAAAAGCAATTAGGATTAGGAACATTCAAAATAATGTTTGTATACATTTTTATATACGGAAAGTAAATAAAAGAAACGTCTTATAACACTTTAAACATTTATTTACGCTTATACTGTTACTCACAAGACGGTGAATATACAAAAAAGATGGTAAGTGGTGCTCGATTTCGATTGGACACTCCAATCATCATCAGACCCAATAGGCGAATGATCAATTACCAACGAATGACTCAATCATTCGCCTATTGGGTCTGATGATGATTGGAGTGTCCAATCGAAATCGAGCACCACTTACCATCTTTTTTGTATATTTACCGTCTTTTGAGTAACAGTATAAGCGTAAATATATGTTTTAAGTGTTATAAGACGTTTCTTTTATTTACTTTCCATAAATTGAATAACTCGTACAATGCTGTTTAAGACGTTACATTTTTATATGATGCAATATTAGAATTCACCTCTAATCTCCTAAATTTGCTAGAAAAAAAAAACCAACATTAAGAGTTGAAACTCTTATTATTGGTAAGGTCAAATTGACTTCCTGTAATGAATTATTTATTATCGGCCAATAAAATGTATAGAAAATTATTTTCAAAAATTCCTCATCACTTTTTAACGGATTACGATATTGAAAACAGATTGCAGCATTGTATTCAACGTAAAAAAATCTAGTTTGAAACGATGGGTCACAACAACACCTTTACATTTGAAAATAATGTTTTTTATCCAATATGGCGGATCCAAGATAGCGGCCAAGGATATATAACCAGTCAAAATGAAGTACTTTCTACTCTACAATTATCTGACGCGGTCCGGAGTTGATATCTTAGGAAATGCAGGAAAAAGTAGGGGGGGGGCTCATTTAAAACTCACCCTGTATACCATACAGCCTAATATTGTATAGTAACGGGTAGGTGTTTAGGTATAAGGTATAAGCTTAGTAGATAGAACAAGGTAATATAATAGTGAGTGCAATCAGGAGATACACTATATGCAAACCTTAAGTTGTCTTCGCCTAGAATAAAGAATTAAAGATTTAACTATTGACTTTTATGCATTAGACTTGGCTAATTTGAATAGATGTGTTCCCATAAATGATCAATCAGAAGAATCAAAGTCCAAGTATGACGTTGTCGGGCGTGCTGACTTTAGCAGCTGAACTCTTACAAATTTATAAGGACAATAAACCTTTCGTCGCAAGCCTTATACTCAGATATTGGAGTTGTACTGTTGATATTAGAAAGTCGTCATTAATTTGGAGTGTCATTATTATTATAAAAAAATATAATCACAGAAAGCTAAATAGTGATTTATCAAAATAAATACACACGGATCATTGAAAGTAGGAAGAATAAGATTAAACCACACCTTCATCAATTTCTAAAACTGAAATCAATAAATAACATAAGTTCAAAGATGATAAGAAACATGTAGGAAGTCTTCAAACCAATTTTTAATGGGACCAACAAGTTATTTCAAATGTATTGTGTACATTAGTTAATTTTATTTTTTAAATTGGACCTTGAATGAAACAAACTTAAACAGCGAGGCACGCATTCACATATTGTTAAATTACTCCTTGGAGGAATACATATGAACTCCTTTTTATGATGAAAACGTGTTTAGATTTTAATATGAAGCTAGACTCACTGAAACAAGCTTTTCGTTTACATTACGAAAGCTGAAGTATGGCTTGTATTACAGTCGGATCTCAAAGTATTACAGATATAAACCCTCTTTGACTCATTCCCATTTCCTTATCGTCTCCAATGCATCTCTTTTCCTCCGCATTTCTCTTACCTTCACTATTGTCTTTGTAAAATGAGACTTTTATTTACTAATATTTAAAACATCGGTCGTTCAACGTTGTAGTACAGGACAGACCTTAACATCTGTTCTATAATATATTTTAAATTTGTAATTAAAACCCGAAGAAAAAATTTGTTACAGTAGGAATAATTATCATTAGGTATATTAGTAATAATGCTAATGAGGAAGTTAAAAGTTAATGGAAGTTAAATTAGATGTATATGATGCACACATAAGTTTGTTTGGTACAAGTCTCAATGCATAGTTATTTAGTAAGCCTATCTAAATTGTTACTTTTGGTATATGCAAAAATAATAATAAACGGATACCAATATTAAATTGGTATAACTTCAAAGGACAACGTAATACTGTATTTGTAGCAGATTTATCTTTATGCTGGTCAAGACCAACAGCTTTTCCCGAGGGATTATCACAAAGCTAAAGGGAAGATCTATTCATATTTGGTCCGACATTGACAAAGCCCTTCAAATAGAACCGAAGAGCACTTTGTTGATATTTTTCTGTACGAATGGAACTTTATTCCCAGAGAGTCAAGGAGAAATATTTTTTATTTGGTTCTTCAGTTTCAAATGAGAAATAATAGTGGACCTAAAGATAAACAGGTTTTAAAACTGTAAAATACCTGAAAATTAATCAGACTTTGAATTTAAATATTTTACCGAATCTGGTTCAAAATACAAGAATTGTTTACCCTAAAAACCACTTGATAGTGTTTTAAATCAAGAATAGTTTGAGTTTCTCGTTATAAACCTCTTGTTTAAAATAGTACAATTTTGTACATCTTTTAAGGTGACTTATTGGTAAATACAGGGTTTCCATAAAATAATGGTGCGGTTTTAACATCCTGTAAAACTGTAATAAGACAAATTAAATGACTTCTGTTGGTATCCCTGTATCTAGTAGCTCAAACAGTTTTGTCCACATTTGTTAAAACAGCTGTTTTGATTGTTGTACTATTCAAAACACTTCTTAATCAATAAGTTGAGTTTTTTCGACCAACATGTTTTCAGATCAGGAAAAAGCTCAGTGTGTATTGTTATTAAGTGAGATAAAGTCAGTGACTTTAGTGCAACGGGCATTTCGAAGAACATTCAATAAAGCTCCGCCTCATAAAAACAACATTAATCGTTGGAGTAAGCAATTCATAAACACTGGGTCAGTTAAAAAGCAAAGTAGACCTGGTAGACCACCAGTATCTAACCAGACAGTTGAAGACATCAGACTATTTTGTGTTAGAAGTCCAAAGAAATCCCTCCCTCGCCGTAGTCTTGAATTAGGAATACCTGTAAGTACTCTTCACAAAGTTTTACACAAAAGACTCCATCTTCATGCCTACAAAATTCAACTTCTTCAAAAAAATAAAAACAACAATTTGATAAAAAGAGCAGGATTCGCTACATTTATGTTGAACCAAATGGCAGAAAATGAATCATTTTTGAATGAAGTAGTTTTTTCAGATGAAGCCACATTTCACATCAGTGGTTGTGTTAATAGGCACAATGTAAGAATTTGGGGAGCTCAGCATCCTCATGAAACTTTTGAAAAGGAAAGAGACTCACCAAAAATAAACGTTTGGTGCGGCCTGTCCAGAGAAGAAGTAATTGGGCAATTTTTCTTCGCTGAAAAAACTATCAATGGAAATGTTTACTTGGACATGTTAGAAAACTATTGTTTTCCTTACTTGACGACATGGAAAATGCAAAAAGCCTTTATTTTCAGCAGGATGGAGCACCTCCACATTATAAAACAATTGTTCGAGATGCTTTGGATGTTAAGTTCCCGAACAGGTGGATTGGAAGAGGCGGTCCTATAGCATGGCCCCCCAGGAGCCCGGACCTGACTCCATGCGATTTTTTTCTTTAGGGTCATGTAAAGAACATGTTATATGCTCAAAAAATTCACAATTTTGACTACCTAAGGGAAAGAATCATTCATGCAGTTTTAACGGTGACAAAAGAAATGTTGCAAAATGTGTAGGCTGAAGTAGATTATCGTTTGGACGTCTGCAGGGCTAGGAATGGTGGCCATGTCGAGCTTTATTAGATATGTATAAAATCTGTTTAATGTAAGGAATCCAATAAAATAAATAGTTTTTTTGTACCTCTTCTCGTTATCTTTTTATTTCATAATTAAACCGCACCATTATTTTATGGAAACCCTGTATTAGTGCACAGATTAAACAGAGTAGTATCTTTAACTGTTGAAAGATTAATCATAAATTTGTCGACTGAACCGTAATTTCTTTTTTCCTTGTAAAAACGTCTACATATCTGGAACGTATCCAGCAAAGCAAGAGGTGAGCCTGTACAGTAAAAGGGTTAACTGATCAAAAGTTGTGGCAGTGGTTAGGATACAAACCCACGACATCGCTGCCTTGGGCCCGAAGTCTGCGACACGAGCCACCGACTAATGAAACAATGTTTGATTCTCTCGACACTAAAAATGACATGTTGGTAAGTCGGTGGCATAGTTGGCAGCCTCACGGACTCCGGACTCAAAGCAGCGATGTCTTTGGTTTGGATCATAGTGACTCTCATTTCTTTTTACTAGTACATTTCACCCTTGTACAGTACCGGCTCACCCCTTGCTTTACTGAATACGTTCTACGCCCATGCCTGGGGCCTATACAAATGCATGGTTAAAAGAGGACCTTAACCACCTAAATATAAAAATCCATCTATGCCTCAAATGACAATGTTACCTGATGCCCCCTCTGGAAGTATCATAGTTGAGTACTCGAGTTCCATGTTTCCACATGATGAAGTGACTAGGCTGAGGAACTCTACTGATGACACATTTAAGTTCTATCGTACTTCCCTCGTTGTAGAACTTGTTGTGGATTGGTAAACCTCGTTCATCCGCAATCTCTAGCTCGGGGACTAGAACATACAAATAATTATTTTTTATCCTTTTAAAATACTCCGAAAAGTAAACGTAGCCTACATTCCTCAACCACCCTATATCTGCATGTCAAGTGCTTCAAAACCTCTCTGTGTCAACATAAAATGAGAATATAATAATCTGCCAACGATCATCAATGGAAGAATTAGGTTGTTTCACATGTATAGTGTAAGAATTTATTGTAATTATTAAACTGTTATCATTATTGCATTCCGCTTCATTGCTCACATTGTACCAAAAGTAGGAGTTATTAAATTAATATTTTTGGTTTTGTTGTTTCCTAGAGTTCTATTCACCAAAACGGTTCTTTTCCACCCAGTGCTTCTTCCGAAAAAGAACTTAAACAAACAGGAAGGTGTTTAACGAAATGAAAACTACAACAATATTTCTCTTCCCAACAAATTCTTTTCAGTTGTAGTTACATAACAGTAGCATCAGTTACGCAAGGAAAGTAAAAGTTGCTTCGTTAAGTTAGAATGGCTGAATCAAAAGGTAGTCACAATTAAAGTTAAAAATTTTGTTGGTGACATAATGGGTTTTTAATTTCTCCTAGTTAACTTCGTGAAGTATTCTAGGCAGGATTGAATTAAGAATGAGTCACGCGAAAGAAGGTACTTATTGCATGCGTGAGATTTTTCCTCTGATTCGTGAATTCAAATCATTGAAATTTAATTTTTGACATTCAAGCTAAATATTATACATGCATCCTTTAAATTTCATGTCATAAACCACATAATTTTATAGTTTGTTTAAATTGAAAATAACTATTGCTAACTTATACGGTTTGGTCCATACGTGACTTTGAAATTAGAGTACTCTGTAAAATTTGATGCCAACAAGTTTAACTTTATTAACCGTTTACATCTCGTAAAATTATAAAATTTTTGATTTTCATGATTCTCTGAGTCCAGCGATTTTATATGATTATTATATTAATACTGAAGAAATTAGTTGTAAATTAGAATTGCCTTTCTTTCCTTATATAAGTATCGCAAAGGCAAATCGCCAAATGCGAGATTCAGACGAGGACTTAAATAAAGTTCTTCCCTATTTGGCAAACGTTGACTTTATTATCTCATCTTTTAATTTCAGATGTTTTAAAATAGAAAATGTTGCTTTAATTTAACCGATCAAGCTTAAGGCAGTGCAATCCATAAAACAAGTTTATTTAAGCTTTATCAAGAGTTTACTTAATAGGTCGAGAAGTCACAGTCATAATCTAAAGCTTATGTTAAATCACAAGACAAAATAAATAAAATACTTCAACATATTAATATACAAAATCATTTGTTTTAATCTCTATAAGTGGTGTGGAAATAAACAGCAAAATTATATGTTTTGAGTAAGCAAATTTGGAAAGATTACACCCAGATTTGAATGGGCTAATTCGTGAACTCGTTTGAATAAAGGTACGTTTACATGTTCGTGTTTGTACCAGTTTTTTTTTTATAATATGCTCATTTTTATTTGAGTTGTTATGCTAAAGGACTCACATATACAGTAGGTAAGTTATATATGTATAATTGCACTTTTAATTCAAACTTATGGTGTTTTGGCATCTGTGGACATCAAAAGCAGAATGATGCTCCCAGATTTAGGCCTTAATAGGTTAATCTTTTAATGGGAAGTTTGTTAGAAGAGCTGAGTTTGTTATACTGTAATATGTAATTTTTTTACTAGCTAAATTATCTCAAAGGACCTAAACATTTTTCTTTCAATTCAGTATATTCAACTACTTACCAACAACATGTAAATAGACAATAAAGACTATCGGTGGATGTGAAGACACTTGGCACTCGTACTGTCCCTGGTCTCTGTCCTGTGCAAAGTCCAGCCGTAGCTGCCAGTCGTTGGGGCGAGCGAACATGGCGGAGTACCTGGCATCAGAGCTGTAAGTCTCGGAGCCAACAGACAACAGGTGGAGTTTACCCTCGTGCCGTCGGAGCCAGGACACCTGCGAATTATGGTAGAAAATGGGAAATTAGTGTACTCGTGAAAATTTATGGACCCGTCTTTGGTTCTTTTTTAGCATCATGCATTGAAATTATTGATATTATGGTGTTGGGATCTACATGGTTGCACCTAAATAAGGTTTACCTAGCTGTCTTGACTAAAAAAAAAGTAACATTTTTGCAGGGTTTGGAAATTTTGAATTGAAGATAAAAGGAATGGTATGATATTGTTAGATGTTATTTGTGGAATTTCAGTATCTTAGTAAACAATACTTTTTCCGTAAAGTACTTTTTTGTAGTTACAGTACCAGGGATTTTGTATTATTAAATGATATTGGTTTGTTACATTTTATTAAAAATTATCTTTAGTAGAAAAAAAAATTAAATTTGACAAAAAATGATTTTCAGCCTAATCACTGAAGCTGTGTAATACGCATAAGCTGTACGTTAGTAGCAAAGTATGGAATTTACTAAATAATTTTTTATGAGTGTATTTTACAGACAAATATGTTTTAAAATTATCGATTTCAAGTAATAGAACAAAGAGTAATGCGTAAATATAAGTTATTTGTTCGAATGGGTTCTAAATTATTTTGGTGAATAAGAATGTGTATTGAAAACCACCGAATCGTCCGTACCGACATTCTGTCCGTGAGGTCATTGACCTTGCAGTGCAGCACGACGCTACTCCCCAGCTGTGAGGTGACGTTAGTGAAGCTGGATGCGTCCTCGAAGAAAGGTAGAATTGCTGGGGTTGTCGACACCGTCGGTGCAGGCTCCGTAGTCTCGTAGGACAACATTCGCAGCAACATCTCGATATGTGCGTCCTCACTGCCTGCAATAGCACGGGTTAAACACTTATCAAAACAAACAGCTGTAGTTGTATGTGCAATGTAGAAACCCCTCCGGTTATACAACAAGGAAAATGGTCAATTCCGTACAGCTGGAATTTGCCCGTTTGAATTCCACAATCACATTATTTCCCTTCATTATATTTTGAATGAGAAAATACATTAAAAGAGGTGGACCAGAATTAACTCATACATCAATAATTTCAACTTCGATGTGCCTCAAAAGATCATAGAGGGTTGCAAATCTATATTTATAATATCATCAAAAGCATAAAGCTCCAGTGTTCATATATTAACTTAAATTATTGCTAACCTTCAACTTAACCTTATTGCTAACTCAAATAATAATGTTATAATATTCTCTATGCTATTGGTCATTTTACTTATTAATATAAAATTAAACAAATTTGTTTCAAAAGTTTGTATGGAAAACTTTGTTTCAAAAAGTAATTTTTTCACTAATATAAAAACAATGACGGTTTTTAATTTTGACTAATCTACCACAAATTGTTGAAATTTTACACAAAAATTTTAGGACAATCTTAGTGGTAATAATTTCAAGGTTTGGTCCATTTATCCTGCTTAGAAATCCAACACTCCAATTAATTTGCTGCAAGAATCCAACGATGAATCACAAAAATGCTTGTTACTCATTAAAGCCTACAGCTACTGTGGCCCAGGCACAAAAGAAAAGGTTGACAAAGCAGAAAACCATTGGTCAATGTTTAATTAGACTTTGGGTACAATAATGGTTTGTATAGCTTTTAAAAGCTTGTGATTAATGACGTCCCTTTTCAAACTCTCAATTGTTTTGGGTAATTATTCAGTTGGATCGAGGGACTTAAACGTATTTTATAGACAAACCATGTTGTGTACTTTGCGGTATTTGGGATTTTAATTGGTCAAATATTGCGTTAAACTGGTTATATTTTGGGGAGGAAATAATTTTATACTAGTGAGTGAAATGAAATTTGTATTGTGTGGTTTGTAAATACATCTCCTAAAATTAATAGCATACCATAACTAAGTATTTTTTTATCTTAATAAAAAATACGAGACTTAAATCGAGAATAATGTTACTTGGAATAAAAGTGGTTTAAAATGAGTGGCTAAAATCAATCGAAACTTTAACTTCCAAATACAGTTCACCTTTTAAAATAGCAATGTGAGCTTTCAATTGAATATTTATTTAAGGGAAATGACAATACAATTATCATATTTCTCTATCACGTACAAGCTGAAAGACCCGTGTATCCGGGGAAAATATTAAAAGGCAACATGAAGGTCGAATTAATTTGTTGTAAGCTTCCCCACTGTATACGGTTGTAATAACGCTAAAAATACAAACAAATCCCTGTTACTGGCTGCCATACAAAAAGGTTTGCAGCTTTAAGAGTGATAGATTAATTGGCAAAATCATTAAACACTTAATTGTATTTATACAAGTTTAAATGTATACAAATTTATACAAGTCTTGGCTGATATTTACTTTATCCATTAATTGTGTTAACTCATAGTTTTTATACGGTCCAAGTAAAAAAGTATAATAAATAAAGGTGGGAGGGTAAGAAATATATGAGTAACACTTTGTCTCATAAACTTATATTATTAGTTTAATTAACTTTGTGATGCGTTATCTATTGTAATTGAAAGCTTAATAAACGTAAAAACGGTTTGTGTAAACTTTTGTTTAAAATTTCATTAAGAGCAATATAAATTTACTTTTAAAAACACCACTTTGAAACCTCTCAAGGCCAGGGGCGAAACTAATAGTATCAAAAGCTGAACCTGTCGAAAACAGTGCTGCCATATTTGTGTGGAATGACTATATAATTGGTCAAATTGTTTTTATAATTGTGTAAAGCATTATTTCACTTACCAGTCTTTGTAATAACATGACTGAAGATGGTCACTACTAAGACCCACATAGTGTCTACGTCATCTTGAACGTCTGGAACATAGGGGAATGTATTGATTACTAAACAAGTCAGTAATTAAATTAAAACTTATCGATGAAATACGTAACCTCTTTTGTTTAAAAATAATCTAATCAATTTCATTTCCTTAATTCATATACAATGCATTGCTAAAAAATTAAACATTTTTGTATAAAAAACTAATAATACTTGTATAAGTGTAAAGGTTATAGAAGATTTATTGTTATTAGGTAAAGGTGGTTCTGACCTGATGTTATTACGAATAGAGGAATAATTATCATAAAACAAAGGCCAAGTTTTCTTTATTGTTCTGTAGCTATTCTACAGTTGCTTCTATGTGTTATGCTTATTAATGTCTAACTAATTACTGCTGATAAAAGAACAAACTCTTTAGTCGATTGCCGATAAAACTCAATGCAATTTTTTATGGGTGAAAATAAAAAGATTTCGTTTGGTGCTACAGATGTGGAAATTTCAAGAAAATGAGAAACATATTCTGAAATTTTACCTCCATATTTATTATAATAAGAAATTTTTTAATGGAAGATTAGGTTTGGTCAAACTGGCAATGCATCTAAGATATATTGAAAGTTTAATTTCACAGTAAGCTTTAAAAACTTTGTAATGTCGTAGTTTTATGGCTATTACAATGATCCGTTTGGTAATTGGGAGAATATAGTTAAAAAAATAACATTCCATACATTTAGAAACTTCAACTTAAAAAATAATTAATACCCAAGGAAAGCCATTCTATCCAAAGATGGCGAAAGCTTTAAGTTATGTAATTAACAAAGTAATCTTTGAAATTACATATTTTATAGCTAATTTCAAAAATATTTTGTGGATTATGAAAGAAAGGAAATACAATTATAACTTAGATTTTGCTGTGTTTAAGCTGCAGGGATCCCTTGGTCAAAAGGTAAATGACACTTATACAACTTTTAATTAAAAACAAGGTTGGTTTGAAGCTTTCCATATAAGTGGTTACAGCTTTTAATTTCTTTGAAATGGCTCCATAATGGTTGAGTAGTTTTACGAATAACGCACTAATCAAGGATTTAATATAGGGTAGGTCTTTTCTAAACCTGATTTAATTATGACGTGTATATTATATAAAAATAATAGGGTTTAACGTTACAGGGACTTCAATCACGTCACAGGGACTTCCACTTTTTAGGTGATCGATAGCATGACTAAACATGTTTAAAGAATGAGTCAATAATACTCATTGCAATATTTGACTAAAATTGTCAGACTTTGTGAAGGAATATTTTAAATTGAAACTGTTCTGTTGGAATTACAGACACCGATTCATATTCTGCCAAATACACGTACACTCAGCAATAGAATGGTATTTCGAACATTGAACTCAGGTGAAATAGTTCATCTGAGGTATATTTCGTTCTTAAGAGTTAGGTTAAATAGGTAACTGCTTAGCCAACAAGTATTCAACAACTCCTAATATTTCGATCAGTATCTTTTATGTAAAAATAGCTCCTTATTTATGAAGTTTTGTTTTAAATTACTGTAAGTCGTAGTGTAGATAAATGGTCAGTTTATTAACTTAAAATAAATTATTTTTAAAGGTATTTATTTATACATTAATAATTGATATTTATTCGTTATTTTTATCCATTGTGTTGTTGTGAGTGTATACACTAATATTTATAATTTCTCCAGCAACATTAACTGTTACCATATTTATTATTTATTATGCATTTCAAGAAATTGTTGTGATAATATAAATGCTATAGTATAATTGGGTTAATCCTGTTTTGCAGCTTTGGAATAAAATAAAATTAATTAACTAATTAATCTTATGGATTACTCATAATATGTTTTAACTAAGTCTAAATTTACATTTTTTTATACGTACACCGATTTTATAAATACTTTTACAAAGAATAAAAATAAATCAAATACAGATCGATTTTAATTATTGGTGTGAAAATAAATCACATTGATTACTACTTTGACTTGCAATAATACAAAGCAAACAAAACCATTAGTAGATATAATATAGCAATATGACCCCACTTTCGGCGTTTTAGAGGCACTTTTAGGGCACTTTTTATAGGGGAAAAATGAGGAAAAAATGGAAGAGCTTTTTTTGGCCACTTTTTTTAAAGACCCAGCTCTCGACCTATACACCTCTATATAAATTTTCTACTTTTTTAATACTGAAAAACATGTCTGGAATATGGCTCATTTTTTTGGCCACTTTTTAAAGACCAGCTATATTTAGATCTCGTCCAATACAAGCCTATACAAATGTTCAAACTCCATTAAAATTTCAAATCCACATCCATTCCCATGTATATTTTCAAAATCATGTTAGGTTTGTGCGCGAACTCGGGCACGCTTATGGCTATGCGTAAACTATGCCCGACTCAAATGAATGACTGTGAGTGTAACCTAATGACCCCAATCAAAACCAATTGTCAACATTCTCTGCCTGTCTGGCGCCAGTCTGTCTGGGGCAGGTTTAGACAATTACCAAATATGTTTGATTGATTGACCTCAATTATTCAATTGTTCAATTTCAGTTTGTTCAATTTCCATTGTTCTAAATTAATTTAGACAATTTTGTGGTATATAAGGGGGGCATTCTACGGAATCATCACTCACTCTTCCACCTGGATCTTCTTGCTATGGTAAGTCTTTGACATCTAAGCTAGACTATTGTAATATGTTGTCGCGTGTCGGGTCATGGGATCAATTGGTGACGTAATTGATGTTTGTACTCATACTCTGTATTTCTTTTAACTTAGGAGTGTAGCTAATTTCCCGAGTCCATTTTTAAAAAACTTAGCCGAATTGAGTCACTAAGGAACTTGTAAAAAATGTATATAAGTATATTTTTAAACACTTAGAGTATTTTGAACAGTCACCAAGGAACTTAAAATGTATATAAATCTATTTTTAAACACTTAGAGTATTTTGAACAGTCACTAAGGAACTTAAAATGTATATAAGTCTATTTTAAAAAACTTAGCCAAATTCACTCATGAGGGGGACTTTGAATCAAAATGTGTACAAGTTATTATTTAAAAACTTAGCCGAATTATACTCACGGGGGAACTTTGAGTCAAACGTTTGCACAAGTTATTATTTAAAAACTTAGCCAAACTTCACGCACCAGGGGACTTTGAGTCAAAATGTGCACAAGTTATTATTTAAAAACTTAGCCGAATTATACTCACTATATAATTTTGTCGAGTTCCTTTTAACATAGGTAACACTCACTCTGTATATATGTAGACTCAGCAATCTGAATTGCTAAAAAGTATTTTTATTTAAGATTTTGGATTTAGTTTTGATTTAGAAAATTACAATTGCCAAATCTTATTGTATGAAATTGTTTTGAATATTAAAATTTAAAATTCTGATTTAAATTATTATTTCCCATTAATTGAAATTGTTTAAAATGTAATTTCCACCATATAGAAGATGCTAACTTTGTTTTTTAGTTACATGTCAACTGTGTGCTGCTTCTCTATCCAAAAAAGTAACTTATTTTGTTATTACTATTTTTAAGTGAGTCAAAAATATATACGAGTTATTTTTTAAAAACTTAGCTGGATTCAACCCACCGGGGGACTTCAAATCAAAAGTGTGTACATGTTATTTTGTAAAAACTTAGCCAAATTCACTCACGGGGGGACTTTGAGTCAAAAATATATACGAGTTATTTTTTAAAAACTTAGCTGGATTCAACCCACCGGGGGACTTCAAATCAAAAGTGTGTACATGTTATTTTGTAAAAACTTAGCCAAATTCACTCACGGGGGGACTTTGAGTCAATAGTGTGCACAAGTTATTATTTTAAAACTTAGCCAAATTCACTCACCGGGGGACTTTGAGTCAATAGTGCGCACAAGTTATTATTTAAAAACTTAGCCAAATTCACTCACGGGGGGACTTTGAGTCAATAGTGTGCACAAGTTATTATTTTAAAACTTAGCCAAATTCACTCACCGGGGGACTTCAAATCAAAAGTGTGTACAAGTTATTATTTAAAAACTTAGCCAAACTTCACGCACCAGGGGACTTTGAGTCAAAATGTGCACAAGTTATTATTTAAAAACTTAGCCGAATTATACTCACTATATAATTTTGTCGAGTTCCTTTTAACATAGGTAACACTCACTCTGTATATATGTAGACTCAGCAATCTGAATTGCTAAAAAGTATTTTTATTTAAGATTTTGGATTTAGTTTTGATTTAGAAAATTACAATTGCCAAATCTTATTGTATGAAATTGTTTTGAATATTAAAATTTAAAATTCTGATTTAAATTATTATTTCCCATTAATTGAAATTGTTTAAAATGTAATTTCCACCATATAGAAGATGCTAACCTATTTTTTAATTACATATATAAAAATGAAGACTACATGTCAACATTGTTTTGCATCGCTCTCCAAAAAAAGCAACCTTATTCGCCACTACAAGGTAATACATAAAATGAAGGTGAAACTGTGCAAAGTTTGTGATATAATCTGTGATAGTAACATGGCTCTAAAATCTCATATATTACAAAGTCACAAGACTTGTAATTTCTGTAAAAGAAATGTTGTTGGTCATTTTAAAAGACACGTAAATTCTTGTAACAAATGTCCATATACAATGATTAAATTTGTCGGTGAATCGATTAAAACTGAACTTAAAAGTACTCTTCAGTCTTGTCCTCTACCGATAAAATGGACTTTAGTAAGGAGAATTAAATTTATAAAATATACAATAGATCAAAATGGAAAATTAGTTAATGAGAAAGAATGTATTGCAGATTTCAGAAGCCTTACTATATTAACCATTGAGAAGAGAGATTTAAAGCCTCAAATTGAAAATGCTCTTTTAAAGATTGACGCTTCCATACACAAATATCAAGCCGAGGGTAGTGGATGGATATATGACCACACTAAATATTGGCAGTTGCACGTTTACAAGTATAAGCCCCTAACTCCAAAGTCATATATTCCTACACCAAAAAGTATTCAATTGACAAAAGCA